GCTACAGTGAGACTAAAATTGATTAAATTAATTGGATGCCCTGAGTGAAGATATCTAGTATTTTTTATTGCAGGAAAAGAGAGATCATCTTCTAGGGAGTGTGTGTTGGGGGAGGTGGGTCATTGATAAATTGAGTGTGTTTGAGATTAGTCTGTATCCCTCAGGTAGCTAGGAGCTCTGGTACTTATGTAGTCCAGGGCAAAATGTAACCCAAGAAGTTTAATTCTTTAATTATTTTTAGCTCAGTTCAGTGTTTTGTTTTCTCTTTGGCTATTTCTTTGTTTAGTTCACATTTCTCAAAACTCCTCATAGTTCCTGCCCTTTCAGCCTCTTCACTGCTCTTTCTTGTAAGTCAAGTGTAGTATCTCTTCTTCAGATTCACGTACAGTAGATATAATGCCAATTTAATGAAATTTAAAATTGTTTATAAATAAAACACACTAAGTTGATGTTTTACTGGGTGTATTGAAGTTGTCTCATTCTTTATTTTGTATAATCAGTATAATTCACTTCTCATCATGACCATTTTTTTTTTTAACTTATAGAAGCAGCAGTGCCTCCATGGGTTGACAGTAATGAAGAAGAAACAATTCAGCAACAAATATTGGCCTTATCTGCAGTAAGTTTCTTGTTGAGACAAACATGAATGATCACCTGCCATGTCACGTGTGTGATCATATACAGTTTTCACTCAACAAACATTTTTCTCTCCATATATTGACTGAGTGTTCTGTGGTATCCAAAGTATAGATAGTAATTTCTTCCAGCTTTAAGTTATATATAAGATTTCTCTTAAGTATTATTTGAAGAAATGAGACACATCAATATAGTGGACAGTTATAAGGAATAGGCTTTGTAGTCAGGAAGTCTTGCATCAGACACTAAGGGGTAGAGGTGGCTATGATTCCTGCACAGGTCACTTCAGTATCAGCGCCTCAGGTAGTTCTTAAGATTGCAATTTGAAGGGCAGATGCAAATATGCATTAGTAGAGGAAGTTTCTTCACCTGCAGTTTTTTATACCAATAAAATCACAAGCCTAGTTTCTCTGATACACCCTTCCTCCCCACCATTGTATTAAAAAAAAAATGGATAGAATCCAAGGGAAAGAGAGGTATAAGATTGCAAGATACAGCTATAACAAAAGGAAGTATAACAAAACTCCAGTAATACAAACTTTTCTTCAGTTCTGAATGAATTCATTATCTCTCAAGATACGGTATAATATAAAGCAAGTATCTTACATAACTCTCAAATACAAAACTATAAAATATAATTTAATTAATTTTTTAACACAGGGGTTACCAAAACATTAGGCTTTTGATTGATTTGAACATTTCCAGAATATTTTTAATTTCCATGTTACATTTGCTTTTAAAAATGGAACAGTTCACAATAAAGATCCTACTATTACGTGTTTTGATTTTTAGTGTTATTTATATGGGTAAGTATAACTGAGGCACATTAATCCATAAAATTTTCCAGCCCCCTCTAAAATATAATACTTAGATGATCAAAGTAAATGAAATCTGCCTTTTTAAAAAGATGTAAAATATTACTGTTAATAATTTTATCAATTTGTAAGGCAGACTTAATTCTGTGTATCAGGGACTGCCCATCTAATTTCTGTAGGTTTCTGTCCTACATTCTCCCTAAATGGCATTTAAAATCCTCATAAATCAGTGGTCTTCAAACTTTTTTGATCATGTCCCCCTATTGCTTAAAAAACTTTGAAACTGCACCCTGTTATGTATATATATATATATATTTACTTATTTATAAATTAAATGCATGTACTACAATATTAATAATTGTGGGCATATAAAACTATAGGCATTAAAAAGATGAAATAATATTTGGTTCCAGTGTCAATTGTGAGCTACTGGAGTTAATTAAGTAGAGGAGTGTCATGGTCACATTTGTGCTTCAGGAAAATCACTTTGGCAGCTATATAGAGAATAGAGCGAAGAAGAGAGACTTGAAGCAGAAAAATCAGTTAGGAGTCTTTTAGAAATAGGGCCTGAGGGAAATCTAATGTCTTTAAAAGAGTATCTGGAAAGAGTTTTGTGATCATGTTCTATAATTGAAAATAAACATGAGGTAAAGTGCAGTGGGGGCAAAACAGAAACCCAGACAGGGCATGCTCGGATAATTTGATGAGGAAGAAGGCACTCAGCTGGGAAAATCAGGAAATGCTTTCTATAGAGATGGTTAGTACCTGAGCTGAACTTTGAAGTCAAGAAGGAGATTGGTAGACAGAGGGATGAGGATAAAGGGTGTTTTCGTCATTAGGAACAGTCCATGCAAAGGCCCAAAGGTAAGAGATGTTGTAAGTTAGTCATCTACTTTATCTGAAATGTAGACTTTGGGAAGGGAAAAAAAAACCTTTTTTTAAGCACATGCTACATGCCATGCTCTCTTCTAAAAGCTGTACAGATGTCATTTTATTCACACAGTAACCCTAGGAGGGAGATGATATTATTATCCCCATTTTACAGGTGAGGAAACTGAGGCAAACAGAGGTTAAAAGACTTGTTGGGGTCACACAGCTAGTAAGAATCTGGGTCACATTTGAACTCGGGTCTTACTAACTCCAGGCCCAGTGCTGTATCCACTCTGCCACCTAGCTGCCTCAGAAAGAGGGAGTAATATGAAAAAATGCTAGAAAGGTAAATTGGAGCCAGGTTATAGGGGACCTTAAGCGCCGATTGAGGAAATTTAATTTTATCCTGGAGACAACAGGAAATCATTAAGGTTTTTGAAAGGGAGATTGACACCACCATACCTGTGCTTTAGGAAGATATTTTTGGCCACTTTGTCTTATTGAGAGAAACAAGACACAGGGACCCCAATTAAAATGGTAATATGATAATGCAGATGAGGTAGTGATGGCCTATGCTAGGGGATTAACCATCTTTGTTAGCAGAAAAGAAATGTCTTCAAGGTCAGGACTTGACAGCTGATTGGGTTTAAGAGGTGAGAGGGAAGAGACAAAGATAATTGCAGGTTACAACTCTGGGTGACTAGAAAGATGGTGGCACTTAACAAAATTAGGGAAGTTTGGAGAGGGGACAAGATTTAGGGAGAAAGTTGATTATAGTTTCGGTACCAGCAAAATATTCAAGTGGAAGGGGCAGCTAGGTAGTGCAGTGGATAGAGTATCAGCCCTGGAATCAGGAGGACCTGAGTTCAAATCTGGTCTCAGACACTTACTAACTGTGTGACCCTGGGCAAGTCACTTAATCCCAGTGGCCTTAAAAAAAAAAGATATTCAGGTGGAGATATCTAGTGAGACAATAAGAAATTGGAACTGGGCATGTAGATTTGGAAGTCATCTGCATAGAGGAGATAATTCAACCCCAGAAAATAAATGAGAACCTGAAAAGGGAGAACACAAAAAGGAGGAGTACCTAGAGCAAAGCCTTAGAAAACATCCTACTTTAGAGGGGGAAAAAGGCATTGAACCAGACTGGTAAGACAGACCTGGGTCAGATACATTAGGAAAGAATCCCCAGATAAGTAGGAAAGAGCCATTCAGGTGGAATGATAAGATCAGAAGAAGGAGAAAAGAGAAAGTAAATGGCTCTTTCAAGGAGTCTTGCCACAAAAGGCAGAAGAGGTATGGAACAATAGTTAGCAGGGATAGAAGGATCAAGTGTGGGTTTTTCAGGATGAGGGAGGCTGGAACATGTAGAGAATGAGCCAGTAGATAGGGATAGAGTCATAGAGGATGACAGAGCAGGTAATCTGTTGAAGGAGATGGGAGGAGTAAGGCCAGTTTATCACGTCAGGCAAGGGTGAAGTAGGAAATAGTGGCCCTTCCGAAGGTATAGTAGTGATGTGAGAGAAGAAGAGGGAGCTCACAGTTAATGGCCTCAGCTCTCTTCTGTAAAATATGAGATAAAGTTCTGAGCTAAGGGGATGGGGAAAGGGGGAGCCATGGAAGGTTTGAGGAGAGAAGAAGAAGTTTTGAACATCTGATCATTTTCCTATTGAGAATGGCTCTTATTCTTATATATTTATGTTAATTCCCTGTGTATTTTGTATATCAGACTGTCAGAAATTCTCTGCCAAGATTCCCAAGTTAATCGACTCCCTTCTCATTTCAACTTCATTGATCTTATTGATGCAAAAGTTTTTCAGTTTTATATAATCAAAATTGTCCATTTTACCTTCTGTGATCCTCTCTGTCCCTTGTTTGATCAAGAACTCTTACCCTGTTCATAATTTTGAAAGGTACTATTGCCTTCCCTGCATTTATAATTTGTTTATGATATTACATTTCATGTCTAGGTACATAGCCATTTGGAACTTATTGTCCTATGTGATGTGAGATATTATTTGAAGTCTAATTTATTGCTTTCAGATTCTCCAAGGGAATGATTTCTAAGCAGTGTGGTTACCTGAGCATTTTTATAGGTAAAACAGAAAGATGGAAAATGATAGTCATAGGGGAGAAAAGATGGGAGGGGATGGGATTAAGGGCCCTGGTAGAAAGGGATAGCATTGATAAAACAGAAGGACAGCCTTACCCTCTGAGACTACAGGAAAGGAGATAAAGTAAAGGTTGGAAGCTTTGAAGTGTGGAAAAACTAGAGATGAGAGAGTTTGTGATAGATAGCCTAAGTTTTCTTGGTAAAGGAGGATGCCAGCCCAGGTGCAGAGTTGGGCATTAGGGTGTTGTTGGGGCATTGCAGAGAAGGTTTGAACAAGCTGTTTTTGGAAATGTAATAAGAAGTGGATAGGAGGTAAAAAGGAGGGAATAAGCATTTATATAGCACCCACTTTGTGTCAGACACTGTGCTAAGGGCTTTTTACAAATAATAATCTCATTTGATCCTCTCAACAACTCTGAGAGTTAGATGCTATTATTATCCCCATTTTACAGTTGAGGAAACTGATGTAAACGAAGATGAAGTCACTGCCTTAGGATCACAGAGCTAGTAAATGTCTAAGGCAGAATTTGAACTCAGGACTTCCTGACTCCAGACCCAGCAATCTATTCACTGTGCCACCAGCTGCCTCCAAAGGGTTTCTGCGCAATGGTGATTGCACAGTTTTGGCTGATCTTTGAAAAAGCTATAACCAAATTGAAACTTAGGTTCTACATTAAGTGAAGCTTGTTGAAATTGAAGCGAATATAACTAATTTTACAGGATTTAACAGAATTTACAAGTTCACATTTAGTGGCTTAGCTTATAAAGGGTGACATTCATAATTCTTTATTTTAATATGTTGAATTTGATATGTCATTTTGAAAAGTATATTCCCATTTTATTAATTTTAGGGGTAGAGTTCTCTTAATATGTATTTTGTGTATCAACTGTCTTTTAATAAAAATGGAATTACATAAGGTAGCTTAGAAAGCAAAATTTAAGTGTGAAAAAGAATTCTTTAAAATTATTAGTGTTTGCATGTGTTTTTAATGTGACTGATTCATGGTAGATGAGTTTAGTGATGAAAAGGGCAAAAGAGTACAGATGTAAGAAGGTGGAAGATTATCCAGATATTTTCATTGTCGCTCCTTTACTACTTTTCCACAACTCCACATTCTGTAGAGTTTTTTGCTGTGCACAAAATAATTTAACAGAGTGAAAGAAGACTATGAAGGAGAAAATCCAGCTATTTGTTTATTTTTTACCATAAGGTACCCCAAAAGTCAGTGCATTTTGAAATTTTAATAGCTTAATTGTTTAGGACTGCACTACAACTTTGAGGGCATTCTGTATAACTAAATTGAGGCAAATAGCTTCAACATATACAGTATAAATTATGTAGTATACATGTGTAAATACAGTATGTATTATACAATAGAAATGTTTTTGCAACATTCTGAAACTAAATGATGATATCCTAATTGTTTTTATATATGTATATAAGTTGTGAAACAAAAGTATATCCATATTTGACAAAAGCTAAAGACTTCCCCCTTTTATTAAGAATAAATTTTCTAACAGGATTAGGTGCTTTTTATATCAATTTTTCCTTTGTACAGTTAGCTTAAGCAAAGTTTGCTATTCTTCTGGTTAAATAAAATATTTGGCTTAATCAAATATTGTTTTATATTAATTTTATCCTTTGTATTTCTCTGTCTTTGTATTAATTAAAGGACAAAAGAAACTTCCTGCGTGATCCACCAGTGGGTGTTCAGTTTAATTTCGACTTTGATCAAATGTATCCTGTTGCTATGGTAATGCTTCAAGAAGATGAACTGCTGAACAGAATGAGATTTGACCTTGTTCCTAAACAGTAAGCAGCATGTACTTACTTAAACTAAAATTTCCTAACTCATCTTTTATTTTTAGTTATACTTAAATGCCTTTTATTGTTTAGTACTACCTTGAATTGCCAAATAAGCACTTATGTATTATTGGAAAATGTTTATTTGAATGTGACAAATCAGAATTTTTGTGCTGCAGTGACCTTTTGGGATTATCTAGTGTGAGAACTTCATTTTATAAATAAAACAACTGAGGTCTGTGGAGATTGCTTGGGATTCTGCCACTACTGAATAGCAGAGGTGAGACTATTCCCCCCTGCCTTTTTTTTTTTTAAGGCAGTTGGGGTTAAGTGACTTGCCCAGGGTCACACAGCTAAATGTTTGGTCTGAGGCCAGATTTGAACTTGGGTCCTCTTGATTTCAGGGCCGGTGCTCTATCCATTGTACCACCTAGCTGCCCCTGTTTCCCCTTTGTTGTCATGTGTTTGAGCAAACCACTCCTAGTTCCTTATTGCTTAATTTTGTAGTTGTTAGCTGGTAGTTGGTACCCAATAATGTTTATTGAATTGAATTATTAAATGTCCCTCATATGTTGTGGTTGTCAGATATCTTCCTCTCCATGCAGGTTTCTTCCCTGGAAACACTTGTTTGCTAGTGTCCCTCTTAAAATATGGTGCCCAGAACTGAAGGAAATATTCTAGAACTGGTCTAAAAAAGAAAACCAAAGTACAACAGAAGTAGTTATCTCCCAATGACTGTAAACTCCATGAAGGCAGGGACCATGTCTAAATTGTTGTCTGTACAATGTCCTGTGCTAGATGTAGGGAATACAAAGACAAGCTTCCAAAGAAGGAGGCTTGTACTGAATTATGGGGAATACAACAAAGTATATGCAGAGTAATTTCAAGAGGAAAACAGCACTATCAGCTGTGGGCATTGGGAAGGGCTTTGTGCTGGAGTGACCTCTGGAATGCTTTGAAAGGAGCTGGAGGTAAGGACTGTATTCCATATATGGGGTGCCACCTATGCAGAGGCACAGAAGAAGGGCATTGTTGCCTGGGGAACAGCTGGTTGGCCAGTTTAGCTGGAATAGACATTATGTGAAGGAGAGTGACAGGAAATGAGGCTAAGAAGGTAAATGGGAGCTGGATTGTAAAGGACTTCGTTTTTGGCCCAGTGTTTATCATGGTTCTTCAGCTGTAATAGGTGCTGTATCAAATAATTGTAGAATAAGCATTTGTGAGTTAAATAGACCCTTTTTTTGTACTAATGCAGCATAAAATTGCACTCACTTTTCTGGCAGTCATCTCATGCTATTCCTTCATAGAAATCTTGCTGTGATTCTTCATCTTGATGTGGAGGCAACCCCGGGTTCTCAAAGGCTGGGCCTACATATATTTTGCCTCTTGTCACAGATGTATTGTGTGTACTATGAAAATGTTTTCCATGCCTATGGTCAGGTGATCTGTAGCATATGATTGCTATTGTCATTTCTTTCTATGTGTTTTCCCCATTTTTAACACCTTGTAGCTAAAGTGGGGACGATAATACCTGTAGTACTTGGGGGATTGTTGTGAGAATCATACAGTGATATATGTAAGTACTTTGCAATCCTTAATAAAGACTCTTTCATTAATTCATGCTAAATATCGTATATTGCCCTTCTTGCTTCAAGTCTTTTCCACTTTCCAGTCCCTCCACTCCCAGCTACCAAAGTGATATATAACTAAATCATAGATCTGTTTCACTCCTCTTCTCAGTAAATTACAGAGGCTGCCATGGAGAAGCAATAACTTCTAAGATCAAATACAAACTGCTCTGTTTGGCATTTAAAGCCCCTTACCATCTAACTCCAACTCAACTTTTCCACATTTATTACTCTCATTCATGCATTCTTTGGTCCAGCTAATCTGAACTTCATACCTGACATTTCCTTTGCTGTTTCTGTGCCTTTTCATAGAATTCCCCCATCCCTGAGCACTTCCAACTCATATACTTACCTTGATGTGTAGATGTCTTCCCTAAAAAAATGCAGAATCCTTGAGGGTTGACATTGTTTAATTTTTCAATCAGTGAGTCATTAAATGCTTACCATATGCCAAGCACCTTGCTTAGTGCTAGGGATACAAATACCAGGAATGAAACAATTCTTTTTCTCAGGGAACTTACATTAAAATGAGGGATTCAGTCAGTACCTGTATAAACAGAATAAATATAAAAGGAATAAATAAAAAATAGACAAATACAGTTTGGGAAGAAGGGTGGTGCTTGAGCTTCATCTTAGAAAGTGAGGTGAAGACAAAGCTCATTCCAAGTATGGAGAGAACAGCAAGTGTAAAGATTCAGAGATGAGAGATGGAGTGTATTGCATGAGGAACACTGAGGATGCCAGTTTGATTATATTACAGAGAGCAAGAAGAGAGTAATATCCAATGAATCTGGGAAGATAGGGTGGAACCAGGTTGTTAAGGTCTTTAAAAGCTAAGCAGAGAAATTAATTTTTTTTAATTTATTTTTAGTTTTCAACAATCACTTCCATAAGCTTTGGAGTTTTACATTTTCTTCCCTTCCCTCCTCACCTCCCTCCCTAAGACAGCATGCAATCTGATATAGGCTCTACATATACATTCCTATTAAACATATTTCCATATTAGTTATGTTGTAAAGAAGAATAGGAGGAACCACAGGAAAGAGGAAACAAAACAAAACAAGGAAAAAAAAAGAGCAAATAGTATGCTTCGAACTGCATTCAAACTTCATAGTTCTTTCTCTGGATGTGGATAGCATTTTCCATCGTGAGACTTTTGGAGATGTCTTAGATCCTTGCATTGCTGAGAAGGGCTAAGTCTATCAACGTTAGTCATCTCACAGTGTGGCTGTTACTGTGTACAACGTTCTCTTGGTTCTGCTCACTTCACTCAGCATCAGTCCATACAAGTCTTTCCAGGTTTTTCTAAAGTCCACCTGCTCATCATTTCTTATAACACAATAGTATTCCATTGTAGTCATATGCCACAACTTGTTCAGTCATTCCCCAATTGATGGGTATACTCTCAATTTCCCATTCTTGGCCACCACAAAAAGAGCTGCTATAAATATTTTTGTACATGTGGGTCCTTTTCCCATTTGTAGAATCTCTTTGGGATACAGACCTAGAAGTGGTATTGCTGGGTCAAACAGTATACACAGTTTTATAGCCCTTTGGGCATAATTCCAAATTGCTCTCCAAAATGGTTGGATCAGTTCACAACTCCAACACTGCATTAATGTTCCAGTTTTCCCGCATCTTCTCCAACATTTATCATTTTGTCGTGTTGGCCAATCTGATAGGTATGATGTGGTACCTCAGAGTTGTTTTGATTTGTATTTCTCTAATAGTGATTTAGAGCATTTCTTCATATGACTATTGATGGCTTTAATTTCTTCATCTGAAAACTGCCTGTTCATATCCTTTGACCGTTTATCAATTGCAGAATGACTTCTATTCTTAAATAAGTTTGACTTAGTTCTCTTTATATTTTAGAAGTGGGGAAAAAAATGAGGCACTGGTTATAAAAATTCTTTCCTAGTTTTCTGCTTTCCTCCTAATCTTGGTTGCATTGGCTTTATTTGTGCAAAAACTTTTCAATTTAATGTAATCAAAATTATCCATTTTGCATTTCATAATGTTCTCTATCTCCTGTTTGGTAACATATTCTTCTGTTTTCCATAGATCTAATAGGTAAACTATTCCTTGCTCTCTCAGTTTACTTAAAGTATCAGCCTTTATATCTAAATCATTAACCCATTTTGACTTTATTTTGGTATATGGTGTGAAATTTTGGTCTATGCCTAGTTTCTGCCAGTTTTCCCAGCAGTTTTTGTCAGTGAGTTTTTATCCCAAAAGCAGTAGGGAGCCACTGTAGTTTATTGAGTAGAGGAGTGACATGGTCAGATCTGCACTTAAGGGAAATTGCTGTGGTGGTAATATGTTGAATGACTGAGGCAGGAAGACCAGTTAAGCTATTGGAATAATCAGGATAGAGGTGATGAAGGGCTGAACTAATAGGGTCACTATTTGAGAATAGGTAAGGGATCAGATGTGAGAAATAATTGTGGAGATAGAAACAGCAAAATTTGGCGACTGGTTGGATATATCAGATGAGGAAATGTGAGGAGTCCAGGATTAATAATGAGTTAAATTTGATTGGGGGAGAGGGTAGTCAGAAGCAAGCACTTCTAAGGAGGGACAGGGTCAAAAGAGAGAATAGAATAAATGGGTGATGGGATAAGATTAAGGGAAATATACTTAGTTTTTCACAACATGACTACTATGGAAGTGTTTGCATGACTACACATGTATAACCTGTATTGAGTTGCTTGCTTTCTCAATGACAGTGTGTGGGGAGGGAGGAAGGGAGAAAATTTGGAACCCAAAGTTTTAAAAACACATGTTAAAAAAATTGTTTTCACATGCAACTTGAAAATAAGATATACAGGAAATGGGGTATAGAAATCTATCCTGCCCTATAGGAAAATTGAAGGGGAAAGAGATGAGAGAAGGGGGGGAGAGATAGAAGGGAGGGCAGATTAGGAGAAGGGGTTTTCAGAATGCATGCCAACTTGGGGTGGGGGGAGGGACGAGATGGAGAGAAAATTTGGAACTCAAAATCTTGTGGAAGTGAATGTTGAAAACTAAAAATAAATTAATTTTAAAAAATAAAAAAAAAGAAAGGAAAAGAAAAAAAAATGAGTTAAATTTGAAATGTCTTTGGGATTTCCTGTTTGAAATGTCCAGTAGGAAATGGGTAATTCAGTACTGAAATTCAGAGACAAGACTAGGGCTGAATATATACATCTGTAAGTTGTCTGCGTAGAGGTTATAGTTAAATTCCTGGAAACTGATAAGGTAACCCAGGGAAGGAAGAAAGAGGGCCTAGTACAGAGCTTTGCTGAACACCTGCAGTTATAGGGTCTGACATGGATGATAAGCAGCAAAGAGATGGAGAAGGAACAATCAATTGGATAAGATAATGAACAGGAAAAAGAATATTGTCATGAAATTCAGGGAAGAGACAGTATCTTGGAAGATTAAGGTGGTTAGCAATATCAAATGTAGCAGACATGTTGAGAAGAATGGGGACTGAGAAAAGAACATTAGATCTGGCAACTAAGAAATCATGGGTAACTTTAAAGAGAGCAGTTGAGTGATAAAGTTAAAAAAAAAAAAGCCAGATTTCAAAGGGTTAAAGAAAAAGAGGGGCCTCTAGGTAGCGGAGTGGATAGAGCACCGACCCTGGAGTCAGGAGGACCTGAGTTCAAATTTGGCCTCAGACACATAACACTTAATAGCTGTGTGACTCTGGGCAAGTCACTTAACTCCAATTGCCTCGCCTCCCCCCCCAAAAAGAAAAAGAGACACTTCAAGAAATGAAGATATATTTGGATGAGAAAGAGAGGAGAGATACGGAATGATAGCACAAATCACAGAATCTAGTGGGTTTTTTTTAAAGGTGGGGGAGACTTGTGCGTGTTTGAAGGAAATAGGTATGGAATTAGTAGATAGGGAAGAGTTGAAGCTTAGAGGGGAGATAATTGAGGTTGTAGTCTTTGGAAAAGATGGGAGGGGATGCGAAAGGTACAAGAAGAGAGGTCCTTGCTAAGGCCTTACTTCATTGTCAGAGGCTTGGAGGAGGGAGGAGAGTAGGAGATGCTGTCGGTGGTTTTTGAGATGAAGAGAATGGGAAGAAAAGAGGGAATTCCGATGAATGGCCTCAGTGCTCTCAGTGAAGTAAGAAGTGATGTCCTTAGCTGAGAGAGTGTGGAGGAAGAGACATGAGGTGCTTGAGAAAAGAGAGCCCAGTTGAAGCTGGGTAATGTGAATTTATAATGTACCCAGTCAGCACAGTACAGTTAGTTGTATGACTTCCTTCAACTCTGTTTAAATACTCATGAGTAGGGGTAGAAAAGTCACATGATAACAGTTACCTAGGGCTGGAGTTGTGGCGAGAGATCAGCAGTAATAGAACAAGAGGATGAGGGATTCAAGAGCAAAGGACAGTGTAGAGTTGAAATGGCCAACTCCAGGGTCAAGTTCGGAAAGGAAGGAAAGAAGTCAGTGCAGAGCTGATAGCACAAGAAAGCACTGAAAGGTCGAGACATGATAATTTCTTGATGAGGTCAAAACATAGGTTTAGGAGAGGGGATGCCTAAGAGAGATGTAATGTTAGGTGATTATAATCAGATAGATGAATGTCATCATTACTCATTAAGGAAGCTGAACACTTATGGGTAATGGAAAGATACACTGTATGAACATCTCTTGTGTGGCTGAGGTGGAGTGAAGGAGTAGGTCATAGGATTTAAGGAAACGAAAGAATTGGAAGGTTAGGAAGCTTGAGGGAAAATTAGCATGGATGTTGAAGTGCTCTGCTTATAAGGGCATGATTTGGGAAAGAGAGGAAGACTTGAGAAAGGAAGGAAAATAGGGAACCAATATACCATAGTCATCATGACGTGGCTTCAGATGAACATTCTGATTGACCCAACTCTAAAGGAGGAGACTTTCCCAAAAGATAGTGAAATGGAGAAAGTCTGGAAATGGCAGTGAGGATAAAAAGGAGTACTTTGACACTACCTTCAAAACCATTGTGTCCTGAGGTATGAAAAAAGGTTTAGCCAGTATTAAAGAGGATGCCTGAGGTTGTAGTGTCCTCAGAAGAAAGCCAGATCTCAGTGAGGAGCTAGAAGGAGTGTGAGAGAAAGAAATCTCAGTCACCAAAGGATTTTGGATGTTTGATATGGGTTTGACCCCCAGTCTGCAGTTGCAGCACCTGATACAGAGTAGGAACTTAATAAATGCTTGTTGGTTGATTTCTTAAAGAGAATGTTTTCCTAGTTTCAGACACTGGACTTGGAAACAGACTTTTAATATATAAATTAGGGAATAACTGCATTTTTTAATTCCATAAAGTAATGATATCCACAAGCAGGTATTAATTTTTTTCAAGGTGAGCAAATTTTCCTGTTTTGTTAATGTTCACAGTAATCTTTTTAAGAGGGAATGAGCAAATGATCATTAAATCCATTTTATAGGTAGAGAAATGATGGGTTTGTTTAAAAGGCTAAATTGATTTCTCAAGATGTCAAATATAATGACAGAACCAGAATAATATCCCCTTTAGCCCTATCTCATCATCCCTCTGCTACACCATGGTCCTTTAGCAGTAGGGAGTTAATGCTGAATATTTCTCTGCAACTTCATGGTAAATAAATATCAAATAAACATTGAATTCCTAAAATGTTCACCTTACTATAGTGATACTTTGTGAATTACAAGTACATATACACACCTTAATTCATTGAATTTTGGTATCTTCATTCAATTCAATAAACATTTATTAAGCACGTACTGTAACAGGGGCAGTACAAATAACAAAGACAGCCCTGCCCTCAAGGAGATTACAATTTTCATAATTCTAGGATTTAAGAGATGGAGCTCAGATTGTTATTAAGATCTCCTATCCTAGAAGAATATTCTTTCCCTTTTATTTTCTAATGTAATATTTTTATTTGCTACCATAAAGAAATCACTTCATTTTTTGCTGCTACTTTTTTTATCCCCCCAGAAATGAAAAGATTGTCTTTAATGTCTTTATTCATATTTGTCTTCAGTGTAAAAGAGGAAGTGTTTTGGAGGAATTACTTTTATCGTGTCTCCCTGATTAAACAGTCTGCACAGCTGACTGCGTTGGCAGCCCAGCAACAAGCCGTAGGAAAGGAGGAGAAGAACAGTGGCAGAGAAGGCGATTCACAGCTGACAGGTACTTCACTTTGTGAAAATGATTTTTGCTATTTTCTTACACAAGTCTTTGAGACTTCTAACCTGTTGCTTTATATAGCTCAAATGATAAGATTTTTTTAAAAAAATTTTTCTAGAAGTAGTAGTCACTCCTTACCTGTCTTTTTTTTCCTGTCCTGCCCATTAAATGTTGATTCTTCAAACCTTTCTCTTTTCTTTACTCTTTTTCAGTTTCCCAGTTTTTTCACTTCTACATCATAGCTTCTCCATTATTCCCCCGATCATCCTGCCCATATCCTACCTTTTTCTTCTTATTCTTTCACCATTTGCTTTAGGTCAATTCTACCCTTTTTTTAATACCTTACTCTATCTCCCTTTCTTTATACCTAACTCCCACAGCAAATTTCTCCTTCAAATTTGCTAACTGATATGGCCAAAGATAGATGTCTATTCTCTGACACAAATTTAGTTTTGATTCAATTCCAATTATTTGTTCTAGGTACAATGAAATTAAAGAATTTAATCTTTCAGTTTATGACAGTATAGTCTTAGTTATTGTTCAGAAAAGTATGTTCTCATGGACAAGTGAGATATATGTGTATGTGTACCTATTGTGTGGCAGGCATTTTATTTAGACTACAGTCATAACTTTGTATGTTGTGTGTTAACTTTTGGAGTTTAGTGTTTTATTATGGACATTGAAATGATATTTCACTTGGTGATCTCATCAGGTCCAATGGATTCATTTATCATTTCTATGTAGATGATTATCAGATCTCTAGACCCAACCCCTCGTCTTTCTCCTGAACCTCAGTCCCACATTTTCATCTGCCTTTTGGACATCTTGAAGTGATTGTTCAGTAGGTGTCTCAAATGCAATGTATTGAAAAAAAGAGTTTGTTTTTCCCTTTAAACCTCACCTCAGTCCTTTCATTGATCCAGTCTGTTGCCATATTTTGCCATTTCTACCTTCACAAGATCTCTTCTATATATTACTTTCTCCTCCCTCAAACAGCCACTGCCCTCACCATCTCTTCCCAGGAATATTGCAGTAGCTTTTTAATTGGTCCAAACCAGTCTACACTTTGGCTCCCTGTTACCTCCAGGATCCAAATATAAACTCATATTTTTGGCATTTGAAAGTCTTCATAACCTGGTCATTTTTACCTTCTCATTTCTACTTCTGTATGACTCCTCCCCATGTATGCTACAATCTAGCAACTCTGGCTTTTTTGTATCTTCTATACTACACTCCATTTTCTTTTTCTCTGCCTTTGTACCACCTGTCTCCTGTATCTGGAGCACCGTCCCTCCTTCAATCCGACTCTTAACTTCCCTAGTTTACTTCAAGACTTGGTCCATATTCCACGTTCCACAGGAGGCTTTTCCTGATCCTTCCAGCTGCTAGTACCTTTCTTCTCATGCTACCTTCTATTTATGCTATACCTATATTTTATGTACCTAGTTAATTATGTATTGTGTCCCCCATTGGAATGAGAGCTCCTTGAGAGCTGGGATGTTGTTTTTGCCTTTCTTTGTTTCCTCTAACACTTAATATAGTGCTTGACAGGGCTTAATAAGTGCTTGTTAATTTGACTTGACTTTGTATAATGAAGGACAATGGGATTGAACTGCCTTAAGAATCTTTATAACTGGGGCAGCTAGGTGGCGCAGTAGAAAGAGCACCAGCCCTGGACCCAGGAGGACCTGGGTTCAAATCCGATGTCAGACATATAACACTCACTAACTGTGTGACTCCGGGCAGGTCACTTAACCCCACTTGCCTCACCAAAAAAAAAAAAGAATCTTTATAACTATAGTTTAAAAAATAAAATAATACCTTACATTTGTCTATAGGGAAGAGAGTTAATCTGAAGCCTACTTTTATTAAGTATCAATTCATTCTTTTGCTTTTTATTTATAAATTTTATTGGGTGGGAAATGTAAGAAAAAAATAACACTCATAATTTAAAATTAAGCAATTTTATGATGCAACAATCTATTAATGGACATTTTAGTTTGAATTGCTTAAAATTAATCAAGCAATTATTGTGTCTTTGTATTCTCACTTCATAGAGGCAGTACGACCTAAAACACCACCTGTTGGAATTAAATCTCAGCTTAAACCTCAAGAGGTAATGTAATTCTATATTGTACTTAAAAGTTGAAGTATGGAATTAAAATAAACTTGTCTACTTAACTCAAATACTATTTAAAAATAGTTAAGATATTGAGTCTCGTATCTGTTTAAAATGGAAGAATTCAGCGCTTGAGTAATCAAAGACTTTACAGTTGAGTCACAGGGCAATTTACTGCTATTACTAATTCTAGGTTTAGTAATTTTGTGTGTGTGTGTGTGTGTGAATGTTTAGTGTTCCAAGGATGAGAATGATAAAAGGTTTGTGCTAGGAAGGATAAACATGATTATTTTCTTTTGCAGCAAGCAGGGTGAAAAAGTAGAATAAATATACTACATTGTTAACTGACTAAAGAAAATCATAGAATATTTACACTTGCTGTGGAAAAATTTATAAAAACTCAATAATTGAATTTCAGGATGAGGAAGAGATATCAACTAGCCCTGGTGTATCTGAATTTGTTAGTGATGCCTTTGATGCTTGCAACTTTAATCAGGAAGACCTAAGAAAGGAGATGGAACAGTTGGTGCTTGACAAAAAGGAAGGAGAAATGACTGTATTGGAAGGTAAGAAGAATTAGTTTATACAATAAATTGCTTGATATTACTTAATATTATTAAATTGATCATTAAAAATATTCTTTAAAATCAGTTGTATAACCATTTGAAAGATTTTAAAATAACATCAGCCTGATTTTGCATTGTGAACTATAAGGTGGATAGTAAATAGGTAGGTAGATACAGCATTTATCAAGACATATTAAGTGCTTAGTATGTGCCAGTATGCTAAGTTTTAGGAGTACAAATATAGCAAAAAGAAATTCTGTGCCCTTAAGGAGTTTGCATTCTAATGGGGAAAGCAACCAAGGAGAGAGGAAGAGTTTAAAAAATTGGCCAGGGAACCACGGCTAAATCAGGTTTGAAGTGAGTGTGGTTGGTGTAGGTACTTTCTTAGACTAAAGTTCTATAGAGACACTTTCCAGCTGGAAGAAAAGGGTGTTAGTGGTGGAGACATTGTCAGCTGTTGCAATGTGAGTGGAGAAATTGTCCTGGAAGTCACCGATTCTCTTAGCATCTTCCTCATCAGTCTTTCTTGCAAGATTATTTATTTATCTGTGTGTGTGTGTGTGTATTTTTTTTTTTTTTTTGGTGAGATAGTTGGGGTTAAGTGACTTGCCCAGAGTCACACAATTAGGAATTATTATGTGTCTGAGGCCAGATTTGTACTCAGGTCTTCCTGACTCCAGGGCCGGTGTTCTATCCACTGCTCCACCTCACTGCCCCTTTTGCAAGATAGTTTAACCCAGGTTTACACAGTCCCAGAAGGAAATGTGGGTGGGAGACAAGGCAGAAAAGCAAATTTATCCATCATTTTACTTATTTACTTTTTCTATTCAAATGACTCTGAAGTCTTTTTTTTTTTTGCACTTAATAGTATTTTATTTTTTTCCAATTGCATGTAAAGATAGTTTTCAACATTGTATTTTGTAAGATTTTGAGTTTCAAATTTTTCTTCCTCCTTCCTTTCCCTTCCTGCTCCCCAGGACAGCAAGTAATCTGATATAGGTTATACATATCTATTATTTTAAAAGATAAACTTTCTAGCTTCTCTCTCTACGCTTGAACCTAAGCTTTTCTTAAACATATACAAAGTTTATTGGTGCCTGTTGAGCTAGCCATGGAATGAAGTGAAAATTTAGACTTATTTTAATTTATTTTTCTTACTATTAGTGATTTGAGACATTTTTAAAATATGGTTATTGATTGCTTGTATTTCTTCACTCGAAAATTCCCTGTTTCTATATTTTAACTTTAATTTTATTTCTGACAGAAGAATCTGCAGATTGGGAAAAAGAACTACAGCAGGAACTTCAGGAATATGAAGTGGTGACAGAATCAGAGAAGCGGGATGAAAACTGGGACAAAGAAATTGAAGAAATGCTTCAGGAAGGAAATTAACTGTTTCATGGAATACAACATAATCTTTAAATGTTCCATACACTGACATGAAATTCTGTTAGTCTGGACTCCCCCAAATGTGGAGAAACTGAAGAGTATATAATGGCATATTGAGGATCAGTATGTAGGGAAACAACCAGCATTATTTTTTTCTTTAAAATTAAATATAGTTTATTCCTAATAATCACAAGTGTATGTTTCACATAACAATAGCTTATTTGAATATAACTTAGAAATCCGATATGTAGGCTATGTTGAGGTAAAGGTAGCAGAAAATGAAGATTTTAGAATACTACATTTTCTGAGGTTAAAAGTAGGACATCATTAATTTATTCTTCATGCAGAGTTTTATAAAATTTCTTCATGTTTGTAGTTTTATCACTGTACATATGCATTAAAATACTTAATTCTCTTTAATTATTATCTCCTAAATGACCAAACCATGCCAAAGAACTTAGAGGAAATATTTCAGAATTACTGTATGGGAGTAGCTTCTTTTGGTAAGTACTTTCAGAAAACCTACCTAGAAGCCAAAAAATTTACTTCATGTTGATTTTTAATAGCTTAACCCTGGCATTGTTTGTAGTTTCTAATTAGAAAAACATTGTTATAGTGTGGATTTCTTTTTAAAAAAATGGGGAGAGGGGAGAGCTTCATGTTTTTTGACAATACATAATTTTAATGATTTTCTTTTTGAATTACATGCCACTACCATTTCAGATCTTGTAGACTTTTGAACCTTTTTGTATTAATGGTACTCAGAAGATATTTAAATTTACATTTATTTTTTCTTGTTTAAGTAGAGCTGATGTATATAAATACTTTAGCTTCATTAATACTAATTAAAGTTTTGTATTTATAAAATGTATTTATGTTCCTCTGGATAGAGACATACTAGAACATTAGCAACCATTACTGGCTTCATCTTGCTGAATAGTGCTAGTTAAGACATTTTTTTAAGGGACAGTACTAATTTCACATAACAGACAACTGCCAGAACATTTGGTATGTTCTGAAGCCTTTACATTTCTTTAAAAGCCTGTATTTCCTAAGATGGGGGTGGTGCTAAAAGTTAGCAGTTTTTTAATAAAAAGAGAAATGCTCCATGAACAACTCAGGTCCAGCAGACATTATCCCTTTAACACATACCGGCATTTTAAAAGAAACTCATGGTGGGTCATCATGAGGCATCTATGCTGGTAAGCTGTAAATTACCAGTCAACACCAAACCTCAGGATCTAAATTTTCCGAAGGTATGCATAAATTACATGGAACAAATGATAGTTTTCAAGACCTTTTAGTCTATGGTGGGATTCCTTTTGAAGGTACAAAAATTCAGAGAAAGGGAATCTCCTCCTGAAGACCTTTCTATTGATGGGAAACTTTGGGGTGGTGTTGGGTAGTGAAGACAGAAGGGAAAAAAGGTAAGAAATATCTGTCTATTGATAGAGCTGTGGGGTTTCTGATGGGGGAAACAAAGATAAAATTATTTGGGGGGCAGAAGGGTAAAAACCATAGTAAAATGTTAAGATTGAGCCAGTGAGTTTAGATCGAAGGGAAAAAGAGACCTAAAATAGCAATATTTCCATGCCGCAGCTTTAATAAAATATTTTATGCGTGAGATGGTTGGTTATTGAATTTAAAAACATAAATTGGTTATGAATTATCCTGTAAAAAACTTTATAAATATGAAAGAAAATTATAAATAAATTTAAAGAGCAGTCTGTTAACACAGCAATGCCTCATTTTTCAGGCATTGTCAGGAAGTGATCATTTGTAGATGAGTAAATTTGCCAGATAACTGAAATTTATACCTTTATTAAAACTTGAAAAAAAAATTAGCATCTTTGATAGAGCTATTGTGGGTATAGAGGCTGTTTGTCCGTATTCCTGTTCTCATATAGTCTCAGGCTTCACTGCTTTCTTTGTTTATTTTTTTGGTGATCTCTTTCTCACTTCGAAAAGTCACATTGTTACTTCCAGTCTTTATCAATAAGTTTTCCTCTCCGCTTTCTTTGCCATCAAGTATAATATAGAAAGAATTTTTGGTTTCCAAAAAAGGAACAGATAATCAACTATTAAATCAGTAAATTTTATTTTTGCACAATTCCAAGTCAGTAGGCTTTAAGGGTAAGCAGCATACTTACAGAAATAATGGGGTAGCCATTTTCTTCAGTGGTGTGAAATATTTTTCCCATTTGTTTTCTGTGAGCCAGATTGAGATTGTCTGAAATCTGACTGCTAAAGTGACAATATTTAACCCAATATGAATACATATGAAAAAGAATAAATATTAACAAAGGCAACAACTATTTAGCATTGAGTAGTACAAAAATTATTTAAGCTGGTTTTGGCAAATATATTTAAATACTAAAATATTGATGGTATCTATTTGTATTATAGGTTACAAGTGCTCACAGCATGGAACAAATCTAGATAGGGCTGCCACTTTTGGCAAAAAGAATTTTCTCTATTAAGTTAAACTTGAACCTGATGTCAAACTTTCTGTCTTCACTCCAAAATGGAAACCCTTAATTACAATTTTTGAGATTTTTTTAAAAATCTCAATGATTTTAGAATGGATATGAAGCATTTATCAAGATACATTATAGTCACTTTCTTTATATTCAGTGTTTTCTTTTTCTTATGCTTTTTTATAAATGAGTATTTTCAGGATCAACAATTTTCAAGTTTAAAGCATTGTTTTAAAGAATTTAAGCAGTTTGTTAAAAAAAAAAGTAACATCACAAGTTCTCTATGACTTGCAAAATTGTATACATAATTGGTGTAGCCACTTTTAGTTATAAAATTGTCTTGAATTTTCATATATTTTTAGATATAATATTCTGATATGAAATTTGTGCAGGGTTGTTTTTTTGTTTTGGGGTTTTTGGTTTTTTTTTTTTGCTTTTGATAAGAGGAAACCCTGAAATATTAAGAAATGATATATAACTGGCAATTGGTTTCATTTTGGCAGGTTTTTTTTTTTAATTTAAGAAATTAATAAAGATTTAATTATTGCCAGTAATTCTATTATGAGGAAGAAGGTAAGTTACCTTATGAATAGGTACTTTCACAGCCTAAATTAGGGAAAAGCCTAAAATGATAAATAATCCATAATTTGCTGCCAAGAACAGTAGTATTTTATACTAAAGCTCATTATAAGCTCAAGATAAATGACAGCAGGTGATATATATGTAATTAATGCAAGCTTTTAAAGCATGTATTATATCTACTTAAAAACCTGTTAATTTCTCATAAAACCATTATAAATCATTAGTGATCTTCAGACTCAGGGATTCGCTCAAGTATTGCTATTTGTAATTTTTCTTTAAAAAAATTACTCAGCATGGAATTCACTCAATGCATCCAGGTGACTTACCTAATTATAAATTTTTGATGCACTTTATCCTGAATAAATCCTGATTTTAGTGGGAAGATTTGAGTTGTGTTTTCTTTGATTTCTAAATACTCTTTTTCTGAAATATTGGCCTAAATATTTCAAAGTTATAAGATGTGTGGATTCACAAAATTAGAAGATTCTGACTGGAGACAGAACAATTTATATTGTATTGTCAATAAAATGAAGTATGTCCTTAACATATAACTTATCAACAAGCATTTATTTTTCTTATTTTTTAAAATTTTATTTATTTATTTATTCTTAGTTTTCAACATTTACTTTTATAAGATTTTGAGTTTTAAATTTTCTCCCCCTCCCTAAGATGGAATGCATTCTGATATAGGGTATTCATGTACAATCATATTAAACATATTTCCGCATTAGTCATCTTGTAAAGAAGAATCAGAACTAATGAGAAACACCACAAGAAAGAAAAAAAGAGAGAAAATAGTATGTTTCAGTCTGCATTCAAACACCATAGTTCTTTCTCTGGATGTGGGTAGCATTTTCCATCATGAGTCTTTTGGAATTGGCTTAAATCATCGCATTGCTGGAGAAGAGCTAAGTATCAAAGTTGATTATTACATAATGTTGCTGTTACTATGTACAATGTTCTTCTGGTTCTGCTCACTTTACTCAGTATCAGTTCATGTAAGTCTTTCCATATTTTTCTGAAATTGGCCTGCTCATCATTTCTTATGGAACAGTAGTATTCCATCACATTTATATACCACAACTTGTTCAGCCATTTCCCAGTTGATAGGCATCCCCTCAATTTCCAGTTCTTGGCCACCATAAAAAGAGCTGTTATAAATATTTGTGTACATTTGAGTCATTTTCCCATCTTTGTGAACTCTTTGGGATACAGACCTAGAAGTGGCTGGATTAAAGGGTATGCACAATTTTATAGCCCTTTGGGCATAGTTCCAAATTGTTCTCCAGAATGGTTGGATCAGTTCATAACTCCATCAACAATGTATTAGTGTTCCAATTTTCCCACATGTTCTCTAACATGTATCATTTTCCTTCAACAAGCATTTATTAAGCACCAACTGTGTGCCAGATACTGTGCTAAGTGCTGGGGATACAAATACAAAGAATTAAACAATCCTGGTCTCAATAAGTTTCATTTTAACAATATTGTCCATACAGAGATGATATTGACCCATTATTAGGGCCCAAATATTCTAAAGTTTGCAGGCTCTTTAGTTTTGAGTTTCTTCCCCTCATTAGTGATAATCATTTTATGCCTTTCTGCGCACACTTAGGTTGTGAACAATGGCACTCACATGCAAGACAGTTGACTATGGCTTAGAGAGCTAAGAGAAACTAATGGTCCATTGAGAGATTAAACTTATGACCTGGGATTACTTGAAGTCATGTTTTAATGAATTTAACTAACTGAACAATTTGTTATTAACACATAATATTTTGTTGGAAACTACTAAAACATCTAAACTATCGTCATGTTGCTCCTTAGTCCCTAACCTGCTCTGCCCTCCCCTTCTCTTATGCCCTATGGAGACCTCCATTCTACTGTTAACAAACTATTGTTCTTACTAGACTTCTTCCTTTTACACTCTTTGTATCTTATATCAAGGAAACCTGACTTTTCCCCAAAAGACACTAAATCCTTCACCACCTCATCTGTTACAGAAATCATCTTCTCTTCACCTTCTCTCATTGACCTCATCATACTAAGGTAGGAAGAGTGGGCACATTCCCTGCTCTCCACTGTCATTTCTGGACCTTCTCCCGGATGCGATCACTGCAACCTTTCTTTTGAGACTCAGTCTATCCAGATACTAAATGGTGGTTACCTACCAACTCCTAGGTGTTTGTCCCTCATTTCTCTTTTTTTTTCTTTTTTAGGCAATTGGGGTTAAGTGACTTGCCCAGGGTCACACAGCTAGTAAGTGTCAAGTGTTTGGTCTGAGGCCGGATTGGAACTCAGGTCCTCCTGACTTCAGGGCCGGTGCTCTATCCACTGCGCCACCTAACTGCCCCATTGTCCCTCATTTCTCAAGATATTCAGTATATGTCTCACAGTGTTTCTATATGCCCCAATGCCTTCCCATTAGCTTGAAGACTTCAACGTACATATCGATATATTCTCCAACACACTGGCTCATTGTCCTCAGTTCCCTTGATCTGCATCTTAACTCTGTTTCTGCCAGGCACAAGGGAGGATGTTCATACTCTTATTCTTTTAGAGACTCCCCCCCTGCCTTTTGTGCCGCTACTTTAAGGCTGCTGAATGAAGTCACACAATCATCCTCTGGCTTCACTACAAATGCATTATATAATTACAACCGACTTCATTGCTGTGTGTTAATCTTTTATTCTTCCCTAATTGATTCCTGATGGAACTTTGCAAAGATCTCAGGCTACATACTTCATCCTTCTTCCCTTCCACTCCCAATTCCTTGGAAGCAGAGGATTTCACCTCAAATTTTACCAA